AGAAAGAAAGAAAGAAAGAAAGAAAGAATATACTTTCTTTAAAAACACATGTAGGGGGCCAGAGATAGAGCTCAGTGGCACAGCGCCTGCCTGGCAAGCACAAGGTTGTGAGTTCGATTCCCAGTACCAGAAAAAACAAACAAACAAACAAAACACAAAATAAATTTTATATATACACACACACACACACATACATATATACATATAGAAAGCATATATGTATATATGTATATATATATAAATAGCTGCCAGGGATGTAGCTCCAGGTCCTGAGTTTTTTTTTTTTTTTTTTTTTTTTTGAACTCACAATGATCCTCCTGCCTCATCCTTCCAAGTGCTGGGATTACAGGCGTGCGCCACCACACCTGGCAAGGTTCTGAGTTTGAATCCCAGTGCCAATTAATTAATTAAACTTAGTGTACCATAACTTTATAATTTTAAATTTTTAAACTTTTTCACCCATAATAACACTTAGCATAAAATGCAAGCACATTGTACAGCTCTACAATAATATTCTTTATCTTCTCTCTCTCTCCTTCTCTCTCTCTCTCTCTCTCTCTCTCTCTCTCCTGCTTTGCTGGAGATTGAACCGTCCAGGGCCTTTCCACTGACCTACACCCCCAGCCTTTTATTTAATTAGTTAAATTTTGAGACACTGTCTTGCTAAGTCACTAAGTTGCCCAGGTTGGGCTCAAACTTGAGATTTTCCGGCTTTACCTTTCCAGAGTGCTGGAATTATAGGTGTGTGCCAGCACGCCCACCTATTATTTCTTATCTTTGTTCCCCTGTAGTGTGCATTTTTTATTTTTTAAATTTTTCTTTCTTTATATCCTTATTCTTTTTTTATCCTTATTCTATATATGTTTCAATTTTTTTACTTTTTTGTTAAAAGTCACACATTAACTTCAGCCTAAATAGGGTCAGGATAATTGATATCGGTCTTCTACCTCCACATCTTGTCCCACTGGAAGGTCTTTGGGACCCTAACGTGCATGGAACTATCACCTTCTACAATGACAATCCTGTCTTCGCAAGTCCCTCCTGACAGACCTGCCTCAGGCTGCGTTACAGTAACTTTTAAAAACCAAGTACACAGAAGTAGACTCTAAAATAATGATTTAAAAAGTATGATATAGTAAATACATAAACCAAGCCAGGCACAGTGGCACACATCTGTAACTCTAGCTACTCAGGGAGACTGAGGCAGGAGGATCGCAAGTTGAAGGCCAGCCTGGGCAGTTTAATGAGACCCCATCTCAAAATTAAAAAAAAAAAAAATAGGGCTAGGGTGTAGCTTGGTGGTAGAATACCCAGAGTTCAGTTGCCAGTACTGAAGAAAAAAAAGAGAGACAACATAAGCCAGTAACAGTCATTTATCCTCATTACCAAGTATGATATATGGTACACAACCCTGTATGCTGTACTTGAATACAACCGGAAGACATGCATTGGGCTGTGATGTCCCTAGGGGACAGAAGTTTTCCAATGGGACCAACCATCGTTGTTATGTGGTATGATCCAATTTGGAACATGACTGTATAACTTCAGACAGAATTGCGTTGTAAGAAATAGTATGCATTGAGCTGGGCATAGTGGTGCATGGTGTAATCCCAGCACTTGGGAGGCTGAGGCAGGAGGATAGCCATGAGTTTAAGGCCAGCCTGAACTACATAGTGAGACCCTATGTCAATGCACCCCCATAAAAGGAAAGAAAAGAAATAACATGCATGAAATTATGTTACTAAATACGAAATTGTGGGCAAAATAGGTATTTTTCTAAAAGCTGTAAATTACAAAAATTTGTTCCAGGAGAAAGGGGTAAATCTGAATAAACCAATATCCACAGAAGTTGGAGTGGTAGTCAAAAACCTTTCAAACAAAGCACTGGCATGGGCAATCATATAGTCAAGTTCTACCAAATGGGCAAAACACGTAACTCCAACATTTTGCAATGATTCCAGACCACAGGAAAAAGTACATGGCTCCCCAACTCCCTGAGCAAGGCTGCACTGCCCTGATGCCCAAACTGGGCAAACACAGCCTGAGAAAGGAAACCATAGACCACTTCCATTTATTACAGCAAATGCAAAACACCACAAATTAAATATAAAATCCAATCTGAGCCAAGTATGGTTGGTGCATACCTATAATTCCAGGACTCCGGGAGGCTGAGGCAGGAGGAGTGCAAGTTTGAACCCAGTGTGGGCAACTCAGCAATGTAGTAAGACCTGGTCTTGAAATAAAAAATAAAAAGGGGCTCAGGAGGTAGCTCAGTGTGAAGGCCCTGGGTTCAATGCCCTATATGGAAAAAAATAAAATAAAATCTGGTGCTGGAGAAAGTGAGAATGAGGACAGTTTCACATTAACAAGTTAAAAGCAGAAAATCAGCCAGGCATGATGGCCTAAGCCTGTGATCCTAGAAAGCAGGAGGCTGAGGCAGGCAGATCACCATGAGTTCCAGGTCAGCCTGGGCTACACATTGGGTTCAACACCAGCCTACACCACATAGCAAGACCATGTTTCAAAAAGCAATAATAATAATAATAAGAAGAAGAAGAAGAAGAAGAAGAATATAATAATATAATACCAGAAAACTCATCAGATCACATTAATAAATACATTTAAAACATTTGAAAAAATTCAACATCTTTTCAGCTCTTAGCAAATTAGTAATAGAACATAATAAATGAGATAAAGAAGGGCCAGGGATAAAGCTCAGTGGCATAGCGCCTGTCTGGCAAGGGCAAGGTCCTGAGTTCAACTCCCAGTACCACAAAAAAAAAAGGTATTTTCCATAAATAAGATAAAGGACTTATAGAAACCTACTGAAAATATTGTACTTAATAGTGATATCTTAGGATTCATCTCTTAAAAATCTACAGTAAGACAAGAATTGTCATTCATTCCCAGCACTCAGGAGGCTGAGGCAAGAGGATCTTTGCAAGTTAGAGACCAGCCTGGGCTACAAAGTGAGCTCAAGGCCAGCCTGAACTACATAGTGAGACCCTGTCTCAAAAAGACAAAAAAAAAGATAAACTAGCTGGTTTACTGGTTTAAGGACCACTGTGTTTATCGCCATGCAATACCACAGGGCAAAGCTGTGAAAGCAGATGAAGAAATTGTAAAGAGAAAAAAAAAAGAAATTACAAAGAGATTTCTCCTACATCAAAATAGCAGATTAATCAAGAATATTACACCTTGAATCACATTTTAAATTATGATGAATATGGTTTCCATCGAAAGTTACTGTGTCCGGACCAAAATCTCCAAGGAGGAGGTATAAGATGTATATTAAATCCTTCACAACGGAAACTGATATTATGCGAGGAGAATGGGTTCTCCAGAACTTGACCGTAGAAACAGAGGAAGTGGGGTAGGGGAAGCAAACGTGGCTGTGACACCCCCAAAGACAGTAGCCCTATCTACACTGCACAGGCCTTTACATCGGCCCGCCCCGCTAGCTTGCTCGAGCCATCGCCCACCGAAGCCAGCGGTTCAGGGTTCACCTCCCCCAGCGCCGAGTCCTGATGAAGGACTACATTTCCCGGCATGCACATCGCACCGGGGGTCCCCGAGGGACCGTCCGGCGCGGGGACCTTGTCTGACTACGTTCGAGGTTCCGGGAAGTAACCAGCATTCACTCAGCTCCATGTTTTTCGCTTTGCTAAGCGCGTCGATTCCCTCAACCTTACCCTGGGTTGGGGTCCTTGAGGGGCCAGAAGGAAGCGCTGCTCCCCTTTTCCAGACACCCAATCCACCGGGCGCTAGGAAAAGTTCCAGGCGAGGCTTTTCTCATCCGAGGCTTCCCTCGGCCCCGAGGGGTCCCCACTGAGGCCGAGGTGACAGCTGGGTTCGGGGGAGGCCGGGGCTCGAAGCCGCGCGGCCGAGGACTACAACTCCCAGGCGGCACCGCGGCGGGGACGCCGCGTCAGTCCAGCACCGCCGGCGGCCCCTGGACGCGGCGCG